AGAGCGCTGCACTAGTACCGCAGAGGTCAGTGGTTCGAGTCCCGTACAGGCCTGATTTTTTTCAGGTCTGATTTTCGCCATTGCATAAATAGCGCTATCTACTGCGAGGATCGTGCATCATACGTATCTAATACCGCAGTTCAAAATATATGATCTTCATATATTCATTGTATCTCATTTATCACTTTCACGGGTTTATTACGAATCAACTTAACGGCCTGCTCCCAGTTGGCTTGTTAGCTCAATTGGTAGAGCGCTGCACTAGTATCGCAGAGGTCAGTGGTTCGAGTCCCGTACAGGCCTGATTTTTTTCAGGTCTGATTTTCGCCATTGCATAAATAGCGCTATCTACTGCGAAGATCGTGCATCATACGTATCTAATACCGCAGTTCAAAATATACGATCTTCATATATTCATTGTATCTCATTACATGAGTAGGGTTCACAGAGGCGGACCCAGGAATTTTTGATTGGGGGGGGGGTCCAAACTTTGGTTCAGAGAGGACTGTTGGACTCTTTTGAGGCAAATTACTTCGCCCCCACACCCCCCCCCCCCCCCCACACCAGTCGCCGTTGCACGTTATAATTCCTTGGTCGCTTACCGTTTCATTAAAAAGATCAGTCAGTTAAAAAGTGATAGACGATCCTGTCTCAAAGTTGTAGGCGTCAGGTCTGATGGGGGGGTCCGGACCCCCCGAACCCTCCCCCTGGATCCGCCACTGGTTCATTACTGCGAGGGTCGCTTTCATACAGTTCATGAAACCGCAGTACACATATATGATTTTCATATATTCAAATTCTTTGATTTTTCACTTCGACGGGTTTAATACGAACCAATGTAATAACTAGCTCCCAGTCGGCATGTTAGCTCAGTTGGTAGAGGCCTGCACCGGTAACACAGAGGCCATGGCTTCAAATCCTGTACTGATTTTATTTCATTTTATTTTTTTTTTTTCAGGCCTCATTTCCACTTCTACACAAGTAGGGTTCATTACTGCGAGGATCGCTTTCAAACATTTAGCGGGAAGGAATGTTGGTCGGAAATTACGGCTGCTGGAACATTTTGGAAGATTCTTTTTTTGTCATTTCATCTTTTCCCTCTTCTTCTCGTCTCAGAATCTCGAGCTTTCCAAAGCAAAGTTTTAAATTTGTTCACTTGCTAACAATGACAATTCTTTAGCTAAACAAAAACAACATACTTGAAGGCATTGCACATGGAGGACTGGATTCCAGCCATTGACCAAAACCTTTGAGATTTCCACCGCAAACACGTACGTAGTATAACACAGACTACAAGTAAAAAATATCGGACTCAGATCAAAGTCGCATAACACCCGACATCAGATTGAACACTGAGGGCCGCGTTGTTTCAAAGCTGGGTTAGGATAACTCAGGGTTGGTGTGAAATCTGATTTCAGATGTGAAAGCTTTAAAAGAAAATACAGTATAATTATTTTTGTCTCTAAGTTGGTCACTGGATGCTCTAGAAAGAATTGGGAAAATTATCCCGAAAAGGCTTTAAGGAATAAAGGATACCCGGATTAAATTTTAACCTTGGGTTAGCGCCGATCGGTCTTCGAGCAACTGGGCCCCATTGATAAATGGTTACAAACTTAAAGTAGACTTCATAAAAGATATTTCAAAATTCGAAAAAGCTCTATCCTTGTCCAAACGGCTATTACGGCCTTCCACTCTTGATGGTTTACGATTAGTGCTACGTAGTATAATGCTGGATATATTTAATAAAACAAACCTTTTGCAAATTACATATTGTGTACTCTTGCGACCTGAGGTCATGGTGGACATATTCTCCTTCCATCACCTTGAAGTCTGGGAATTTGCTCCATTGAACTTAATAAGGAAAAAAAATTGTTGTACTTTCACAATTCCTTCTAACAACAAGACGATGATAAACTCATCTCTGTCTATGTAAACCAAGTCAGCTCTGGAATGCCAGTTAATAGGGGTAAAAATGCCAGCCAAACTCTGATCAGAGACATTTGAATGGCGACCATGGCTGGATCATGGACTAAGGAACCTGGTTTTATGTGCAGAGACTCGAGGCCTAAAAAGGGAGACCAGTTAAAAGCCTGTAGCAGCTTAAGAGGCGACCACTAATTACGGGTTTTCTATAAGTATAGCGTACCGACTTCATACTCACTTTTATACTTAGACACAATAACTTTATCATTGAGTGGTTCAATAAAACGAACAAGTAGTGAGTCTTCAGAAGCAACTGATATAGTAACACCGCTTGGCTTGTCTGGTGGTTCTGGCAAAAGAAAAATAAACTGTCTCTACCTCATTTACTTGGGAATCAGCTTAAAAAAATCAGCACTGACAAGCTTCAAGGAAACACTTTACCTTTGATGTTGGGATGGAGAACTTCAAATACCTGTTACAACTACATAGAGAGCAGAGGGGCTATAATAAACTATATTGGACTATATTAGAATATAGTTCTAAGGTTCACAATAATAACTCGGAAAGGTGTTTGTCTTATAAAGTGGATTTCAAAAGATGAGTGATGTGACTGCAAGTCAGTTAACAAGATGGATTGGTGCTGCAATTGTATAATGAACTTGACAAGACATAACAGGCACCATCTGTAAAAATACAGCCAAATCTGACTCCCCTCATCCCTATAACTATCATATAATAATTTGGATATATCAACAAAGTTGAAATGATAAATTGGCCACTGTAACGATTACAAAAGCTGACGTTTCGAGCGTTAGCCCTTCGCTCCGACGAAGGGCTAACGCTCGAAACGTCAGCTTTTGTAATCGTTACGGTGGCCAATTTACCATTTCAACTTTGTTGATATATCCAAATTATTTCGTTACCCCCACCGACGCAGCCCCAAACAGTTTCTTTCGAAACCATCAGCCTTAATTTACCTATAACAATCACTCTGGATTTCAATGAAAAACTGTTCAAGTTGTCCATGTAAATGCATTGTAAAAAGTATTTCTTTACACTGCTGTCCATCATGTTGTGAACCTCATGAAAAACATGAATACTGTAAAGGTTTTTAGAGTTCAAATGATTATATTCTCAAGTTGTGACACCACCCACCAACTGGCTTGTTTCTACTACTAGATGTTGTAACAGTGATAATTGATGGCAGGAGGAAACAAAATTCCTCCTTGGCTTAAAGACACAGAATCATATTGAAAGATGATGCAGCAAATTGATTGAGTTGATGATAATTAAAAGCTAAAAATTTATTCAACAATCTCCTTGCTGATAATTACTAGGAATTGACCCAAGGAATTAGACTATGGACAGAAGAAGTGATATGATATCAACAAAAATGACGTTTTTCTTTTTTTATAGCATCTATTACCTATTTTTAAAAGCCCTTTCTTCATTTGTTCCAGTAAGTGTTTCCTCCACAACCACTCCTGAAAAAGCCTTTCATTTTCCTGAAGACATCACAAACTGATGATTAACTCTCTGGTCAACACTACGTGCCAAAAACACGCTCCGGGTAACCAGAAAAATAACTTTTCCAAATTACTCACCAAAACAGCTTCACAATTGTGCCCATGGGGATTTGGTTACTGTCAGAATTTGAGCAAATGCCCTTCTACCCCTCCCCTCCCCTGACCCAATATTAACCCAAACTTGCTGTCAGTTGACTGGCTTTTGGTCAAAGGAGGGGTCGCTGCACAGTTACTCAGATACTAAAATTGACCCTAGGGAGTTTCCAAGGGAAATTTCCTCTGCTGGTATGCTATACGAAAATGAATGACAGCAATGATTAGCTCAATTGGTAGAGCACCGGACTGTTGTGCGGGAGGTTGGGGGTTCAAGCCCCGGCCAGACCAACACTCAGGGCCTTAAAATAACTGAGGAGAATTTGCTAACTTTCTATAATATCAAGAAATGGATAGATATTCTAGTCTTCTCGGATAAGGACGAATAAACCGTAGGCCCTGTCTCCTGCAGGGTTAGGGGTAGAAGACGTTAATTTCCCATGCACAAGATTACTGTGGTGGATGTCCTCCTCTGAGGTGGGATGGGTGGGTTTACTGGGCCCGCAGTAATTGGCGCAAGCTGCTGGAGTGTCCCTGCCTGTCGGCGAATCTAATAAATTAATTTAAATTAAATGAAATGTGTATTACCTTTATTTCAGATGATGCAGTATAACTGACATGCACCACTGCCGTGGTGAGATCATCCACTCTAAGCTCTGCCTCCTTCAACAACATATTTATGTGCTTAGCGAGGTATGAACCCGGCACTGATGAAACAGAACAAACGCCATTCAGAAATATTTAATAGAAAACCTAACACAAATACATGCTTAACCATTCAACTCCCAAGATCTGATTGTTAATTCTCCCCTCTAAATGCTACACATTTCCTTGTAAATTAGTTACGAGAATTAGGTGTTAGATCAAGAGAACAACTTCCATCTGATGAGTTTGAGTATTCTCATTACCTTTTTGCTGGATAATGCAGGTATATTATGGGGAGAAGTTACATGTTGATCACTTCTGGGAGTTAAAGGTTTAACAGACACAAATGAAAGTTTGACTTTCACCTTTAACAAAATGTCCTTGCTATGAAAATTTGTCAAGGGACTCAAACCTCTTACTCCTAAGATCACATTAGTAATTCTCTTTGCTGCCTGTCATATGATTCTTATGATGTTAGTTTGGAGAATTTGGTATTGGATCAACTGATAATCCCCTGATTCTCATTTTTTCCTTATTCTCATTATTTGACTGTTTGATGTTGTTTTGTTATTGTAAGGAGAACTTCTGTCTGGGTCACTTGTGAGAGTTTAGGGGTTAATAAGATGTAATAATGATAGACTGTGTGCTATCTCAAGCTTCATTCACTTTCTGAGGCTAAGAATAATTTTTTATACACGCATGGCAAAATATAATTCTTAATAATTTGGGATTTTTGTTTTTAATTCTAAATATTTTGTGTATGATCCCACTTTCTAAAGTGTACTTTTCCTTGCAGAGTTCAACCTTCAGTTGATGATAATTATCTTAGCAAGGATGGCTAAGTGGTGAGTGTGCTTGCCTCCCACTTCCATGGCCAGGTTCAATTCCTGTACCTGGCATCAGAAGTTTGTTACAATATTCCTTGTCCTTGCTCCAACAGTTTTACCCTACATCCTCCACTCTTTCTCACTTAACAAATACCATAAGTCTAGATTCCCATTCAAACTGGAAATATGGATAAAAAGTCACCTTTCGGGAAAGTCGCTTAACTGGTTGTACTTGCAAACATGGGAGTTCATATCCAAGAAGTTTGCATGTTGATTGAGCTATGTTGTGTTTTCATCTGAGAAGAAGCATGTTTCGTTGTGAGCAAAATTCAAAGTGTAGAAAGGCATAATAGCAAATGTCTTCCATTTGATGGGGTGAACTCATCACCATGGGGGGTGAGTTTTGATGGGATAAACTTGCAATGGGGTAAACCTACCTAACAACCAACTGAAAAGGACTAGTTTATTTGAAACACATGAACAGCTAGCCAAATACTTGAAAACTCCCTTACGAAAAAGTGCCTATTTTATATCTATTTTATATCTATTTTTTAAACTATTTTCTACCTATTTTTTGTGTATTTTTTCTCTATTTTCCAGACTATTCGAAAGCTGTTTTTTAACTATTTGAAAGCTATTATTTTGAAACAAAAAATAGTAAAAAATAGTCTGGTTGGCAAGTCATAACTGCTGTAAAAATAGCTTTAAAATAGAAAAAATGCGCATGCAATTCACTGATAAAATAGTATTAAAATAGCATTAATGAAATATTAGTTATAAGATAAAATAGACATAAAACAGGGATAAAATAGAAAAAAAAACAAAAATAGGATGTAAGAAC